ATGAGTCTGCAAGCAATTGATTTATTATGGTTTCTGTGCAGTCCAACCTCTCTGCTAAACTTAACCTGTATTTGCAGCTTCTCCCCAGCGCTAGCATTACCGCCTCAGCTCCACCTCAGATCACCAGGTATTAGATTCTCATAAGGAGCATGCAACCTAGATCCCTTGCATGTGCAGTTCACAATAGGGTTCACACTTAATAAATAATACTGTATTATCTATTTGAAAGTTGCTAAGAGAATAAATCTTAAAAGTTCTCATCATAAGAAAAAAATTTGTAACTGTATGGTAATGGATTAATTAGACTTATTGTGATGACCATTTAACAATATACACAAATATTGAATCATTATGTTGAACACCTGAAATGAATATAATGTTATATGTCAATTATATCTCAACAAGAAAAAAAGAATAATACTCTAGCTATCTGGCAGTAATATACAGTCTGGGCTGGAAATATTTTGTTTAAAAACATTATGTACACATCATAAAAAAAGAATTAGAAGAATATAGACCAAAACGCTAATATTATCTTTGGGTATTGCAAATATAGGCAGTTTCTGCTTTCTTTTTGTCTTTCTGTATTTTCTACATTTTCTCTGCTGAACATATATCACTTTGTAATGAAAAAAATAGGTTAAAATATTTTTAAAAGATTGAATTGGAATAGAAGGCAATTAGAGCAGGGAGGTCAGGTTATGGCTAACCAATAAGAACGACAGTCTTATTCTAGAATGTTGGCAATACTATGGGTTCATGAATTTGGATGCAAGAATAACACATTAATAATATGGTAGAGAGTCAGCCATTGACTGGCTGTATGGCCTGGAAAACACACAGGAGTCAAAGTTAGCTCCGAGGCTCTTAGGAACAAGTGACAGGGAAGACAATTATTCTATGAACGAAAAATAGGGAATTTAGTAGGAGGAATAAGTTTAATGGGAGAAAGATGAATGTTTTCTAGCCAAACTGACTTTGAAGTAGTGCCAGGTGGGCATCCAGGTACAGATGTATAGCAAGTAGAAAGAAATGGAGGTTGGCATTCAGGGAAAATGATAGAGTTAGAATTTTAGATCTATAATTACTTGTATAAGGTAAATAAGAAACTCAAGAAGCGACTATGGTAACTCAGGCAAAGATTGCAGAGAGATGACAAAATTGAAGATAAAATCTTGGTGAAATATTCCAAAGTTGAATTTTTAGTGAATGCAAGGTTAACGGTAGGAGCTATATTGTATTTCTATAATTAAGCATTCACTCCACTTTATATATAATCAAAAGGTTAAAAGGACTTCCCTAAATCTAACAAATTGAGACAAACAGAAAAATACTATCAGAAATAAAATTTAGATTTTTATATGACTGGTTTTTGCTTCATGTTAATTATTAAACAAGAAAATGTCCCTTGTCTTTCTGTCTTTGGAAATGTATTTTCAAAAAATATGTGCACTACAGAAATAAAATGAACCAGCTGACTTTTTTTTCCCCTGGTCTTGGGGCTAGTCAAGACAATTTCTAAGTTCTATTTCAACCCTAAAAGTCTAATTCTGGCATGGTGCTCGGTTTTAAAATCTTTTATTCAGATTCACACATACAAAAATGTCCTGTATCCATACAATACAACTAAAATTCCCAGCAATTTTCACTTTAATTGTCCTAAAGTCAAATGAGAAAAACCCAAGATATAAACATCTTTAGCCTCTACAAATTTTACCTGCCACTGATCTCCAAATACATGAAGGCACTGTGAAAGCCCTGTATTTATAACTTTTGACTCCCTGCTACAGGATTACAATGCCAGAGACTGGAGATAATAGAACATACAGAAATAAGAGCTTTGAAAATAAACCTTCTTACAGCTAATGAAGGATTATCTGGCATGCAATTTTTCTAAAATATCACAGCTATTAGCAAGTTCTTTTTTTGTTGTTTGTATGAGACTATTTCTCTCTGGTCTCCACTTTGTTGTCCTGAAAATAAAAATGTTCCTTAAGCACAATCAGAGTTAAGAACCCCAAAACTTCAAAATTAAATTGTAAATATTTAAATTTATATTTACTTCTTTGCAAAAGTGTCTTCTTGATCTCTATGATCTGAATTATGTCCCCCTAAAATTCAGATTTTGAAATTCTAACTCCCAATGTGACTGTTCTGGAGAGAGGTTAAATGAGGTTGTGAAAGGTGGAACCTAATTCGATAGGATTAGTGACTTTACAAGAAGAGAAAAAGAGAAAAAAATCTTTCTCGCTCCCTCACCTAATGCATGGAAGGATAAAAGATCATGTGAGCACAACTGCAGAAGGTAGCTATTCTGCAAGCCAGGAAGAGAGACCTCACCAAAAACCTAATAAGTTAGCATCTTGATCTTGGACTTCCCAGTCTCCAGAACTGTGAGAAAATACCTTTCTGTGTTTAAGCCATCCAGTCTGTGATATTTTGTTACAGCCGACTAAGGAGACTAAGATAGCCTCCTCAAGAAATTTTTGGACTAAGATTTGGACAATTTCAAATGGTTCTAAATTAGTAGTCAAAATGTATTCTTTTTCAGGTAGCTAGAAAAACTGATCCTTTGATAATCTTTTTCCTTTCAAAAATATATCTTGACAATTCAAAGAATTGGGTAGAAATAAAATTCTAAGAAATAGAAGAAAAATGTTATCATTATTTCATTAGTCTTTACCCAATAACTTTAAAAACACACACAAATAAAGTAATTAGAGTACACGTACTTAAGTGTAAAATCTTGACCTAAAATCTGTTTCTAAAGACTCTTGACATTTATTTGACCTTTCAACAATACCACCTCTGAATTTGAACCTCAAATGTTTAAGTTCCACAAGATATAGGTGATTACAAGTACTTTCTTGTTCAGGTGTTTAAAGTAATTTCTCTATCCTTGAGTGATTTACTTTAAATTTAGAAGCTGAATGAACACTAACAGCTCTCTATAATACCACCTGATTAAAAAAGAAAACTCTTTAAAGCTGTTTATGAATGGAATCCATCCTCTAAACTACTGCCAACATTATCAACCTGAAAGTGAAATCTGACCAGCCATTCTCTAGCTTAAAACTCTTTAATCCCACCAGGTACAGAATATAATATCCACACTCCTTGTAGATAGGTGGCAAATGAAATCCTCTGTGATCTGCTCCTAGTCTGTTCTTGAACCCTGACCTTAGGAAAACTGGGGCCTTATATTGGAAGCCCCAGCTATCACAAACTACTTCCTTGGGATATCAAGAAGCACCTGTTGGCAATTCCTTTTTATTCCTTCCTCCTAGATAACTGGAATTTGTTCAAGAATTTATTTAGATAGTACTACTTCAGGGAAACTTTTCTCTGAAACTGGGTAGGTACCTTCCTTTACGTCCCATAGAAGGATGCTGTAAACAGTTTTTTTTTTCTTTCTTTTTAGTTGGAAACATACATCTTTTAATTAGAGTGACACTCATGAGATATAAACATTTCTTATATACAGAATACAAACACAAGATTTAGCTTGTCTTATGTAAATGTCTCCCTGTTAGGACCATATGCCTCTAGAGAACAGGGATCATTTTTATATTACCAGTGCCTAACATAATGGCAGATAGGGCGAGCATCCATATATGTTGACAGAATACATGTTGGAGCAGTGTATTCCCATTGAAAGTTGCCTTACACTGTTTCAGCACTTCTCTGTCACAGGGACTGCCTTTTACAAAAGTATATGAATCTACATCTTCTAGCTAATACACCAATAAACACAAGAAATCAATATTAAACTGCTTTAAAAAAGTAAACAGTTCTATAATGAACAGCTTGGGATATCTCCAAGTTCTTAAATTAACTTCGAGGGGTAGAGAAATTGTAAAAGGAACTTAATTAGTATTCAAAAGAATATTAGCAATACATAGTAAAGTTTTTATTCTTAAGGTGTTTAAAATATAGGGGAGATGAGCTCCTGAATCTTGCTTCCAACCTCTTCCATATATGGCCCACTTTATTTGTCACTTTATTTGTACTCTTATTATACATACTAATATCAGATATAGATATGTCATTATAATATACAACATTATAATACATTAAATTATTATATATAACTAATAACGGATACAGATGATATATATATATATCTGATATTAAGTTTATGCGAACATATTTGGTTCCTCAACTGGAAAGTTTCCTGATCTTTTCCTCCATATGGAAGTGATCCTTTTCTTCTGCTCTTTACCAGCACAGTATGATTATTAAATATATGAATTTAGAGAGGTTGACTTGAGTTGCAGTTTCAACTTAATTTGTAATTCATTTCACAAATATTTATTTAGTGCCTGCTATACACCACTCTAAGCACTTTGGGAAACAAAAAGCCCTAGTCATTTGGAGAAACAAAAAAGAAACTTCCATATTCTGTGGTGCTGAATTTTAGTGGCAAGAAAGACAATTAACCATGAACACAATAAAGTTAATTAGTATATTAAAAGAATGATGAGTACTTTAGGGGGAAAAAGAAAAGAGTAGGATGGGGATCAGGAATGTCAGGGGTGTGGCGTCAAGTTGCAATTTTAAACAGGGTCATCAGAATAGACCTGCTCACTGAGAAGGTGATATTTGAACCTTCTCAAATTTGGAAGGAGATGTGGGAGGTTCCAATACTTGGGGTAAGATTTTTCCGGGCAGAGGGAAGAGCTAGTGCCAAGACCCTAGTGGAGGAGTGTGAGGGAGGATTATGTGGCTGGAGCAGAGTGAGCAAAAGGTGAATAGTAGAAGATAAGACCAGAACAGAAAAAAGAGGGGTGGGGCAGGTCATATAGGACCTTAGAGCCGATTGTAAGGACTGTAGTTTTTACTCCCTCTAAGTGAGAGGAAGCCATTGTAGAGTTTTGAGGAGAGAAGCATCACGATCTGACTTATGTTTTAAGGGATAACTCTGTTGAGAGTAAACTAAAGGGCAAGGTAAAAGCAGGGAGTCCAATCACAGGCTATTATAATAACCCAGGTGAAATACGATGGCGTATTTCAAAGAGATAACAGTGGAGGTGGTAAGAATTGATTTTATGTGTATATATGCATTGCTTTTATTGATGTATAACTTATATAATAAATTGTATCCATATAAAATGTACAATCTGATGAGTTTTGTCAGATGGATATGCTTGCAAAACCATCATCACAATCCAGGAACATCTCCATCTTTCAAAAATTTCCTTTTGCTCCTTTGTGGTAAGTCTCTTCCTCCAACTCTAGCCCCCTAAGCAAACACTGATCTGCTCTCTATCGCTATAGATCAGTTGACATTTTTTTAGAGTTTCATATAAATATTGTATATATTCTTTTGTATCTAGCTTTTTGTCACTCTGTCTTATGACTTTGAGATTCACCCATGTTGTTGTATGATAGGTACAAGATTTGTGAATGGACCGGATTATGGATATAAGAGAAAAACAGTAGTTTAGGATGATTTCAAGATTTTTGGTCAGAGCAAACTGGAGAAATGGAGATGCCATCCACTGAGAAGGCAAGTGGTCAGGAGGAAAAGGCTCGAAAAAGATAATCAGGAATTAGGCTTTTCATATTTTGATCATCTAGGTGGAGACACTGAGTCATATGCTGGATATAGATCTAGAGTTCGGAAGTGAGGTATGAAAGAGAGACTTAAATTCGGGAATTGTCAGCATATTGTTAATTGTAGTGAAGTCACGGTACCACATTAGATCGCCAAGGGTATGAGATGAATAAAGAAAAGACCGAGGTCTAAGCCCTGGGAAACTCCGACTTCAGAGACTGGGGAGAAGAGGAAAAAGCCTCAAAGGAGACTGAGAAGGAATGTCCAGGAAAATAAAAAGAAGGGTGTGGTATCCTGAAAGTCAAATGTAAAGTTTCAAAAAGGCAGGAGTGATAACTGTGTCAAACGCTGCCAATTGGTCAAATAAGAGATAAAAATTGACCACGAGATATAGCAACACAGAGGACACCGCTGACTTTGACAAGGGGCAAATCTGGTGGAATGGTAGTGACACAAGCTTGCCTGGGTAGGCGCAGGAGCAACTGGGAGGAAAGGAGTTGGGGGCAGCAAGTACAGACAATGCTTAGGGAGTTTCCCTGAGAAAGGGAGCAATGAAATGGAGACGTAGCTGGGAGGGAGAGTGGGGTTAAAAGAAGTATTTGTTCATGTTTTTAAGATGGGAGAAATAAGAACTTGGTAATGATCCAGGAGGAGGAAGAATTCGTGTTGTAGGAGAGAAAGGGGAATTGCTGAAGTTATATTTTTGAGTGGACCAAAGAAGGTGGGATCTAGTATATTAGTAAAGAAATTAGCTTTAGATAGGAGCCTCCAGAGTGACCAATTAATTTACTTGCTTTGCTTTTCAGCAAGTTACTTAATCCTTTTAAACTTTAGTTTCCTTATCTGACAATGAAGATACAAGAAGATAAAGGGTTTGGATTTAAGAAGACTCTACTTAGGATTTTTCTGTGAAAATGATCCACATTCAGGAGAAAAAATGTACCAAATTTTGAATTTTGATCTTTTCCCAGGCTAGTGATATTTGGTAAGATACTCTCATGATGCTGGGCAGTGGCATTGAGCCATAGTTCTCAGTAAGCTATGTGATTACAAGGGTAAACAATCCATACTCTACAGTGTATTAATTGTATTAGACAGTTTTGTCCAACAATAGGTTAGGGTAAGTATTCCGAGCACCTGTAAGGCTAGGCTAAGTTGTCATATTCTGTAGGTTAGGTATGTTAAATATGTTTTTGACTTACAATATTTCCAATTTATGGTGGGTTTATCAAGATGTAACCCCATTGCAAGTCAAGGTGCATCTGTAGCTCTTTTAGAGTTTTCCAGAAGATTAAACAAGAAAACATGTCTGACCCTTGGTAGATGTTATATGTTGGCTATCTTCTCTTACCTCTCTTTATTTATAACATTTAAAAAATAAAACTAACCATATTTTATCTTGTGTAATAATTTTAAAAGTATCACATTTTTCTTCTCTTTTCAATTATAAACTTCTCAAAGGCAGGAATGATGTTTTGGTTTTTTTACTCCTAGCACAAAGGTCTTGATTGAAACAGGTTTTTAGTAAATATTCTTTGAATTTATTTCAACAATGTAGAAAGCAAACTTTATGGCATATACAAATCACCAACACTGTAAATAAATTTGTCCAGTCCTCTGGTTAGTCTGGTTAGTCAATCTTTAAAAAAAAAAAATCTCTGCCCACTTTTGATAAACATAAAAATCTTGTGTCCTCTTTTTAAATGACTTAGAATTTCAAAATACCTCACCTACACCCATTCTGAGTACTATATTTTATCTCCAGCGTTAGGAATCACTTTCTAGTATAAAAAATGGGAGGAATGGGCATCATATGATTAGAGTAGGCAGCAGCGAATACATAATTTTCATGTTCCAATTGTTTCAGATCCCCTAGAATGCCCTGGTATGATATGTGATATATTGGCAAATGACCAGATCATATGTGTGTGTGCACATGCGTGTGCACATATGTGTGTGTGTTAGATGCTGCAAGGAAACGAGAGAGAAAATGATAAAAGCAAAACATGGTAAAAGCTTAAAATTTGGTGGATCTAGGTAAAAAGTATGAGTCTTTTTTGAATTCTTATAACTTTTCTGTATGTTTGGAAAAAAAGAAATGAAATGGGAAAAACAGCAGTCACCTCTCTTTAAGCAGTTTACTTAAATAGTGGTTGACTTTGACAGTCTAATGCCTTAGGCCATCCATTTAACCTCTATACCTCAGTTTATTTTCCTGTAGAATAGGTGACATTTTACTGTCTTCACAGTTAAGGTATATAACATTTCATTGTTCTATATGCATTTTAAAACTTTTTAAAATGGAAAAGTACTGATCATAAATAAAAAAAGAGGCTATGTGGCAGGCCTGACAAGCTTAGTGACCAAAAGTGACCATACCTGATAATCCAATCATAAATTCTTAACTGGGCAGGTCATGGTGGGTAGTCAAGCCCCAGGTCTATAGCTTCCTTAGTAAAAGGTTAATCTTTATCTTAATAGAGTCCTATCCATTGTTCCTGTGCATCTAAGTGAACAAACCTTTAAAATACCAGAGTAATCTTTTCCAGACCCTTCAGAGGCGTAAACACCCTTCACTGTCACCTCACTAACCACCCTCATCTTAGAAGAGAGCAGGTGTACCCAAACTCCTCATTGTTATCTTGTTGTCTGCAAATGATCTCTTTTGACTGTAAATGTTAATTAACTGCTAATTATCCTGCACTCATCAATGTAAAAGAAGTATGTATCTCTCCATTTTACTTTTTATTCAATCACAGAGATTTCCTCCCTTTTGCTTTCTCCTGCCTCCTTAATCCAATGGATTTCATGTAACCTTCCTCATATTTTCTCACTTAATTCTAAATGTGAGAAAGGAATGCCAAACTGCCATTCTCAGGAGCATTTTCTTAATCCATTGCGATCTTGCTTCAGCCATAGCCTCAGTTTGACTCAAATAAACTCTTATAAAATTTTTCTGTAGGTTTGGATGTACCTTAGTCGAAAATACCTAAAAATTTTAAAAGAATGAATGTTTTAAACCACATTTAGCTTACTACATCTAGAGCGGCTATTATAAACTTAATAATGTAGATAGGAAGAATTGGGTAATTATATATGAATATGAATTTTAAACAACTGCAATAGAGGAAGGAAATTTGACCAATGAATAAAGTCACTGTCCTGTTGGCTAGTATGCTGTTTTGGAAAATAACCACCTATTTGACTGCATATGGGTAGGATAAGCACTGTTTCCTATATAAATGTCTAACCACTATGCTGTACACCTGAAACATAAAATAATACTGAATGTCAACTCCACTTGAAAAAAATTTTTTTAATGTTTAAAAGGTAAATAAATAACCTCTAGTGTTTTACAGCTATCTTGAGATCAGAATATAGCACCTATTTAATAAAAAGATAATAGCTGATAATGGCAAATTGAAAAAGCTCAAAATGTGTTTTGAGATGTCTTTTTAAAGGTCGGTCTCAGGTAATTTAGGTTTCTCACAATTTTGTGAACTATTATTAACAGAGGTCTATTTGTGTTCAGTTTAAATTAATAAAGGTTATTTTTTATTTTAAATTTAAATGTTTATTCTTTATAATTGACAACTAAGGAAAAAAAAACAGTTACATTATAAACATATTCTCACAAGTCTCTGTTGCAGGAGTCAAGCTGTTTTGATAGAGCTCAATTTGGGGGCAGTGGGTACTTTTGCTTTCTTTTCCATCCATCCCTTAACCCTGTAATTAAAGCCTAATAAGTACAAATCAAGTAAGATTACTGAGCTAGAGCCATTTCACGAGGGTATGAATTGCTTCGTGCTAGTTCTAGAATATCAGCTGGAAAACATCATCAAAGGAAATCAAGGCAATTCCTTTGCTGATAAGGACATTGGAAAGACTCTCTTTAGAACTAGAAACAGCAAGCTCAGTAATGCAAATGCCCTCCTGTTCATCTGAACTACAACAATCTCCCCATTTACTATTTAGCAAAGATTGAAAGAGCAGGACCAAAAGCTCTAAAGATGGAAGGTGTAAAAGGAAGTCTCTCTTCTGCTCAGCACTTTGGCAGGCATGATACTGAATTTGCATTTGTCTGACTGGTAACTTTCAAAAGTCTGAGAAAGTAAATGTGAGCTGAATAGCAAAGCGATAAAAGAGATAATTCTGAGAGACTGTGTGTTTGTGCAGGGATAGAGGGTGGGGGTGGGGCGGGGTGGAGAGGATTGAGTACCAAAGAGGTGAGGATTAAGCATAGTGAACATAACTCACAAACCCGACTCCCCTAAGTAAGATGAATTCAGAGCAAGTTTTCTAAATAATCTCACCATATTAAATATACGCACACTGAAAAATCTTTAGTATAATGAAGCAAACTGTTCTTTTCTTTGTGAATTCTATTTATATGTGTCCATGGTCTAATTGTTTCCTCATTCTCTGCTCATCTTTCTCCTTTCTTAGGACCCTCCCTTCCTCTTTTTTTTTTAGCCTCCCTCATACAGCCAGAAGCAACCAAAACCAGTTTCCTTCCATTAATGATGTTTTAGTCCATTTTACATTTTTGTGCCCACTCCACTACTAGTCACACCTGCCTGGGTTTCCTTGGTGCTTGATAAATGTTAGATAGTATAATGCCACAAGTAAATGGAAATGTCACCATCAGGAAGGCTTGATTACAGTGGTAAAGAAGTGGAAACATCAAAGCAAAACAGCTGATGGAAGCTAAAAAAAAAAAAATCCTACCACTTAGCAAAGCACCTGGTACAAAGGAAACTCGATAATAAAAGTTTGCTTAAGTGTTTAGTTGAAATTTTAAGGACCTTTCCCACTACGAGCAATCTAGTACTTTATAGCTAGACTCCTTCTCAAAGCTAGAAGAATTCATGAATGGTGGTGATTCAGCAGATACTTTTATTTTTTCATTTAAATTTGCAGTTATTAAAGCCTGAAGTTGTGGTCGGAATATTGAGTTCAAAGCATAACAAGAATGAGTTCATTAAAAGAAAGGCTGAAGATGATCGTCTTATGTTCATATTTTTCTTCTCAGATTATCTATACCCCTTTAACTCATACATCACTTATGAACAAA